TTCTGGGATGCAGTCGTTCGGAAACAATATAATACTTCTGAGGCTTTATTAGGTGGGGTCAGAGCAGATTTTGTCCAGGGTAGGAGTTGGCAAACTATGGACCAAATCTGGCCCAGGGCCTGCTTTTGTAAGTAACGGAGCAGAGACACGTACATTTGTTCAGGAGCTCTCTGTGGCTGTTCCGTGCTGTGACAGCAGACCTGAGGAGTGTGTCAGAGGCCTGTGGCCTGCAAAGTCTGAGACATGTGCTCTCTTTACAGCAAAAGCTCGCTAGTCCCCGGTGCAGGGCCTGCTCGCCTGCTGCATAGGCTGTGCCCTTCTGAGGACCGCCCGCGGGCTCTGAGCGTCAGAGGGGCCTGCGCTCTGGCCGAGGGGACGTGATGACTCCTGGGCCTGCGTGAGCACCGCGTTGTTCCAGCCTCGGTGGTTTCCGCCAGTGCCAGTGCTGCTCGGGCCCCAGCTGAGGCCTTGACGGGTGACCCGCTGTAGGGCTCTGGCGTTCTGTCTGTCCTGAAAATTCTGGCTGCCAGGCTCTGAGCAAACCGTGTCTCCTCACCTCAGGGAGTCTGCTGGACTGCCCGGGGCCCCTCCTGTGCGGGGGCGATCCTGGGGGTGGCCGGGGCAGTCCTGCGGCAGGCCGCACTCGTCTCCCTTCTCCACTCGCTTGCTGCGCTGCCTGTTGGCCGTGGCTTCATGGGTTCTGCCTGGCTTTTCATTGCTAAGGCAGGTGGGTAAGTTCTGGCTCCCGTTATTCCATCATGGCTGAAAGTGGAAGTGGAATCCCAGGTCTCGAACACATTGTCCCCACCCTTAGGACAGTCTGCGGTGCTCCCAGTGTGTTCCTGTGAGTCCCTGCCTTCCACCAACCTTCCAGCTGACACAGAGGTCCTCTCCCACCCCCAGAGCTCAGGGCGGGCTCTGTGCCTCCATCAGTTCACTTCACCCTCCGACAGGAGGAAACTGAGACACTTGCTTGAGGTCATGCAGCTTCCCAGGAGGACTGTCGGGAGCCCTCGCTGCCACCGTCCAGTGTCCATCCAAGCCTTAAAGCGACAGACCCAGGGATGGGTGACTCTCCCCACCTCTTGCCTTTCCAGGTGGTGGAAGTGGCCCAGCAAGTGCTGGGAACTCCCCGCCATGCACCACGTCTGCTGCCACCTATGGGCTCCAGGGTGGGTGGGGTGTGGCTGTCTCCACTGTCCACTGGGGAGCACTTTGCAGGGAGAGACCCCGGCCGGCTCTCTCTGAGCCTCCTGCAGGCATTGCTGGCCCTAGGGGGTGGGCAGGCAGGACCAGGGCACAGGCAGCTCCAGGCGGGAGACTGTCCCACGCGGACCTGGGTCTCAGCGTCCGGGCCTTGGGGACACAGCGTGCCACTCAGTGGGCTGCTGTGGCTTCTCCAGAAACGCAGATCTGGTGACCACAGGAGGGGACGCTGCCCCACGTGCTCGAGCTCCCCAGGAAGTGCCTGGGCGATAGAGGTGTTCATGGTGGGGCATCAGACCTGTGCCAGAAACCTCAGTGTCCACAACCCGAGCTGGTCCCCTCCCCTCTCGTGCCAGTGTCTGCATCTCTCAGTTAGAGTGGGTGTCCACCACCCCAAGGATATTTTCAGGTTTCTGAAACCATCAGGAGATTGGCAGAGAGGCCAGAGAGCAGTCTTAGCTGCACGGAGTGAGGCGGGGGATTCCAGACACAGGTAGGAGGCAGGATGGAGAGACCGCAGATCTGTTGTTTAGGGGAGGGTGTGGCAAGGGAAAAGGGGGTGGGGGGCCACTGGAAGGCATCCAGCATCCCCCCTCACTGAGAGACACACGGAGGCCTTTGGGGACAAGGCATAGCGAGTCCACCGCTGGTACCAGTCCCTGCCAGGTCGCTCTGCCCCAGCCCCCGCCCCTGCCTCTGCCCCATCCTCATCGCCCCTCTTGGCATGGTCCTCCTCCCCCACCCCCAGGTATCATCCAGCCCCCACCCTGATGCTCTCAGGGCCGGGATCCAGGGTGGCTGTCATGGGCATCTGGCCCCGCCCGTTCTGTGGCTGCATCTCTGAGAGGGCTTTCCTGTCAGTTACACTCGGGGACCACCTGGCTCCCTCCCTCCTTGGGAACTGGGCTGTGGCACTGCTGGTGCCCTGTCAGCTCTCCGCGATGCCTGGTCTGGACACATACCTGCCTGCCGCCCCCTCCTCTGGAGATCGGGCACTTGGTCCAGGCGCTGGGCCAGGTCCAGGTGGACACAGCTGGTTCCTGCGGTCACGAGGAGCCAGCCTCAGATGCAGACTGCCCACCTCTACCCCAGTGCAGCCTCTTGACCCACACGGGGCAGGCCGTCTCCAGATGGCAGCCTCTCTGCTGCCTTTCCTACCGCCTTGGCCCTGGCCTGACCTGACCCAGGACCTCCACGGGGTACTTGTGGGCTGGTGTTTTCCTCCAGGCGGGACCAGCATCTTTGTGCTCGAGTGGTGAATGTGTGCGCTGGACAGACCACAGGAGCGGGTCAGGCGGATACACCATGTGCAGATGGGAAAGCGAGGCACCAGGAGGGGCTGTGGCTTGTCTGGGTGCAAACGCTCGACCACATTCTCAGTTGACAAGAGCTCCCAGGGCTGCCTTTGGAGCCTCGGGCGAGCCAGCCACCCAAACAGACAAACAATTAGGCAAGTGAGTGAATCCCGCCGTGCCTCAGTTTCCTCATCTATAAAACGGGAGCAATAACAGGTGCCTCGCAGCGGTCTGTGAGGGCTGGCCGGGTGGCAGTGATTGGGCAGACAGCGGCCCTGGGTTGTAGTCTTGCGTCTCTGGCGCTAGGTCCCCACGTGCAAAGCAGGGAAGGACACGCAGGACGCGAGCTGCCGGGAGGCCTCGTGGCTCTGAAGTGGGCAGGCCCCAGGGGCCTCCCTGGGAGCACAAGCCCCCCGCCCCTCTGTCAGCCGGCACCGAGCCCAATGCCCGGGACCCCAGGAGGGTGCGCTGGTGGGGAGCAGGCTCCAGCAGACCCAGTGCAACAGCAGGCGGCCTGGACCAGGTGCCCCACCTGGTGGAGGGCGATGCGGGGATGGCGTACGTGGGGCGGGTCCTGCTGGGCGCGTCCCCAGCCTGGGCGCGTCCCCAGCCTGGGCCCCGGGCAAGCCTCGTCTCCCATGGTGGGCTGAGCCCTCTCCAGGTTGCCACGTGAGGCCACGGCCTGCAGGAGGGCAGGAGTGGCCGTGGAGCTGTGGGGCCCAGGCCAGAGGGTCCCTGCTGCCACCCTCCTCGGGGTCCCATCGCCCTCCACTGGTGAAGGCCAGGGCTGTCGTGAGCCCACCAGCTCTGACACCATGTTTCGTTCGGCCTCACGTCCACCCCTGACCCAAGCAGTCTCTGGCCCTTCTGTGCACATCTGCTGGGGTGGGGAGCTCACCCTCTCCAGACTCCTGCCGAATGCAAGCCTGCTTCCTCAGCCGGCCTGACGTCCGCCTCCCCGGCTTCCCCTGCCGTCCCAGCCCCTGCATGCACCGCACCTGCTCCCTTGGCCCCACCTGAAACATCCCTCAGAGACTCAAAGAGTGAGCGGCTGTCCCCAGGGGCCAGAGAAGACCCTGAGCCTCAGCCACCGGGGAGCCCTGGCTGTTCCCACAGGAGAAAGTTGGGCCCAGAGAAGCTAGGTGTCTGCTCAAGGTCACACAGAGGTCGTGTCCGCGGAGGGCAGGGCAGGGAGGAGCCCCCAGAAGTACGGGCTTTGGTGCCAGATGCATGACCAGCATTAGCAGGGGCCTGGGGCCCAGGAGGAGCTGAGGTGGGCCTGCAGGGCCAGTGGTGAGCTCACAGGAGTGTGCGGACATGTCCCCGGCAGGCCCCAGGCACCTGCCAGGCCACCTTCCTGGCAGGGTTGGGGTAAGCCTGGCTCCCCAGCGGGCCTCGGTAAGTTCTAGCCTGACCATCCCTTGCTTGTCATGTGGCCCAGGCCACCACCCCTGCTGGCCTGTGTGAAGCTGCCCCAGGGGGTCCTCAGACCCAGGACGGGGGCCATGGCGCCCACCCTGGAGGGTGGGAGGTGCTGGAGATCTGTCCGGGTCAGGGGCATCCGGCCCCGGTCTGACATGCTCCCTCTGCTGCCCAACATGACAGGGACGGGGAGTGAGAGGCTGAGGGCCAGAGCCTGATGGTCACTGAGCCCCACCAGGTCCAGGTGCCCGCTGGCCACCCCCTGGCCTTTCCCTGTGTGGCCCCGCCCACCAGGCCTGGGCCCTGTCACTGCCTGTGTTGGACAGTGGCCGGGCTGGGGTGGGGTTGGTGCATTCTGACCTCTGGGGCCCCACCCTGAGCCAGCCCAGGAGGCGGAGGTCAGCTGTTGTGGCACAGACACTGTCAGGTGACAGGAAGAGCACGCGTGCTGGTCTGGGCTGTCGAAGCAGACGGGAGAGGTGGCAGCAAGGGAGCCTGCCAGCATCCACACTGGCCCGAGAACCTGGGGGTGACCCCCTCCCTGGCTGTGGGCACATCTGGTTCATCTCAGCATCCCGGTTGGTGGGGGGGAGGGTGTGGCTCAGGCTGCCCTGCTCTGGAATGCAGCCCAGGAGCAGACTGAACCGCCCTGGGCTGAGCCCTGACCCCCGGGAGGGACCTCAGGATGTGCACCCTTCCAACTGCAAGCCTTTGAGAGCCCAGCCTTCCCAGGCTCCTCCCGCGGCTTCTCCTCCCTCCTCCCTCCTCGCCTGCCGGCTACTGGGCTATGTTGTCTGTGGTCTTGCTTTACGGAGACAGCAGGGTCGCGGGCTGCGCTCCCCTCCCTTCTTCCCGCTGCCCCAGAGAGTCCCATCTGCACTACCCCGGGTTTCTTGTGACCCGAGTGTTGAATCTGCACCAGCAATCCAGGGCCAGAAAGGACTCCAGCTCATCACATCGCCGTCCTGGCCCTGAGCTGCGGGGAGCAGGGCCAGGGTGCGGGTGCCCGGAGCGGGTGGTGGGCAGGGCCCCACTGCCGCGCTGCCTCATGACCCTGGTGTCCTTTCCTGCTCACAGGTGATCGCGGTGGTCATGGACATGTTCACCGATGTGGACATCTTCAAGGACCTGCTGGACGCTGGCTTCAAGAGGAAGGTGGCCGTGTACATCATCGTGGACGAGAGTAACGTCAAGTACTTCTTGCACATGTGCGAGCGGGCCCGCATGCACCCGGGGCACCTCAAGGTGAGCCGGCTGGTTGTGAGTGACTGGCTTGTCATTCAGTCAGTTGACAAACACTTGGAGCACCTGGCCTGTAGGTTCGGAGCCAGGCACATAGGGTTCAGTATCCTCGAGCCGCCCACCAAGCGGTCACACAGCCTGTGCTCACGTGCCCTGGGGCACGGGACAGCACCTGTGAGCGGCCGCTGAAGCCCACGCGAGGTGCTGCTTCGCAGGTTGTTTCAAAGCAGCCGGTGCCGCAGTGGCCACCGCCAGTGACCCTGGCCCCACGTGGAGGGCTCCCACTCCCATGAAGTCCTTTCTTTCTCCATATAATGTCCGCCCACAGGTTATATCTGAGAAGACGATGCTCCCTTGGGCCGAGGTCAGGGAGGGCTTCTCTGATGGCTGCACAGTTGAAATGGATTTGAGGAGTAAGAGCCGAGTAGAAAAGGACGCTGTGGAGCAGAGGCAGAGGGGCAGGATGGCCTGGCCCTCAGCACTTTGCTGTGTGTGTCCTGGGCACGTCCCCTCCTCTCTCTGGACCCCAGGATCTCACTGGTCCAACAGAGGGGCAGAGGGGCCGTGCGGCTGGGCTCTTCTGCTCAGACCCCTGGAGTTTAGTGCCTTGCTTGGGGGTGGGGGAGCCCCGTGTCCACCCAGCCATTGCTTGGCACCAGCTGTGTGCAGCGCGTTCCCTGGAGTACAGATGACCCTGCAGAAGGACGGCCTGGGCCTCATCACGCAGCTGCTCCTCTGGACAGCCCAGCAGGAGGGCAGCTGTTCCATTTCACAGATCAGGGAGTCACTTACTGCTAGTGTGTTGACGATCAGGGAGAGGGGCAGCACCGAGCCCCTGGGCAGGTCAGGATTCCTCGGGGTGACGCCAGGCTGGTTAGCAGGAGGCTGGGCTCCTGCGCCTGTAATTTGTCAGCATTGAGTGATCCCCCCTTCCCCACCCCAGCTTAGTCCTTTCAAGTGGGTGTGAGCTCTCTGGGCGGTGAGTCTCTGGCTGTTGGGACATTTTTATGTGGTCTCCCTGGCGGGTTGACCCCACGCCGCATGCTCACCCACTGCCCGCCATGTAATTAGCACCGAGAACTGACTCCCAGGCAGACAGCTCATGCCAGAGAGTCCAGAGTGTGGAAGAGGCGTCTTTTGAAAGGTGACTACAGAGGCCTCAGCCCTGTGGGCAGCAGACCACAGAGTCCAGCCCTCTGCCCGTGCTTGGGAAGAGACTGACGGGCACCCCCCGGCACCCCTCCCCCATGCCCAGTGGGTATGCTGCGCATGTCACGTCCCTCTGTCCCCATGCATCCCCCCCATCTGGTGGGTGGATGAAGAGACAGAGAACGGCG